TGCTGGCACTTTATGTTACGCCTTCATAATATTTTGTTTCATTTCTAATTACTAAAAAGTTAATGCTAAGCATAGTGCTTCACAGAACTGCATTTCCCACCCAGTTATTCTGAAATATTCATAAATAACGGTATACTGTTAGGCTTAATGCACGTAGGAAGTTGAATGTTGATTTTTTTTTTTTTTTTTTTTTCTTTCTTGGTGTTTTCTTTTGTTAGATGATGCTTCAGCTCCAGAGCAGCCTCGAATGGCCATTTCTGGTCAGACAATGTTGACTGATGAAACTCTTTCAGCTGTCTCAAAGTCTAGCAAGAATGCTGTAAAGAACAGTGACGTAGAAACAGCAAACCTTTCTCCTAGCCTGATTCCTGCACAGCAGCCCACGATATCATTAATAACAGACAACAATACGGATGCGCTAAGTGTAGAGTCACTTACACTGGTGCCACCAGTTGATCCACACAGCATTCGAACATTCAGCTGCATTCCTCAGTCCTCTTTGCAATCTGAAGCTGAAGTTTGCAAGATAAAAGAGGTGGAGGAAGAATGTTCTGACTAAAGCCAGCCTGCAGACTGTGATAAACAGTGAAGCAAATGCAACCAAATTCTTTGTTGTTTTTCCTTTGGGAGTGCAGATACTTCTTGAAGCCTCAGAGGCCATCTGGTCCATGAGAAGAGGACCATCATGAAAGAGAACGTGGGCAGCTTTTAGAGTAAACATCAGATGTTCAGCGTATTTAAACTGGAGAAGAAAAAAGCTCAACTTTTAAATCTGGACGGGTTGTTTTCTTACTAATTCATGTTATACAGGAACATAAAAGTATTTCAGAGCACCTACTTTCTTTCTAGTGTAGAGTTCCAGCTGCAGGAACTAAGTTAATTGTAAAAGGTCTACAGCATTATGGCAAAATGAAGACATTTTTGGATAAGTGGCTTCAGGATATTTTATCATTACTTCTCTGAAACTGGAGACATACCACTGACCAGAAAAAAATTATATATTGTAGTACAGAGATAACATTTCCATTTGAGACATGGTGTGTTTTTCAGCTTGGGTTGTTTTGTTGTTTGTATTTCAAAATCCTGATCTCATTCATCTTGTGGAGGTCTGCATGGTACCAGCAGACTTGGCCACTTTCAGTGTTGTCTTCGTTAGGACTCCAGTCTTCAGTATTTCTGTTTTCCATGTATAATATTTATTTCCAGGTTTGATCCAAAGTAAGATATATATATAAAAAACACCCAATTTTTTTAAAGGTAAAAGCTTAAAATTAAATGACAAATGCTTATACAAGTTAACATAAGGGAGTTTTGAGACTACTTCAGTCTTTGGTTAATCAGCTACAGAGAAATGTGAAATATGAGATTGCTATAACTTGTTTCTTCACTTCTGACAGTTGAATTGCTACACTTCTGAGGAGTGGTGATATCCTTTCTACTAAAGGACAACTTCTAGAAAGAGATGGAAGCAGTTTAAAGAGGTTCTTTAAATTTTTCATCTTCTTGTAGGAAGGAGGTCATCACATCTAACTGATAATTCCTTTGCAAGTCTGAAACTCAAAAGGAAAGGTATCGTGTAGTTCTTTTCCTGTCTGGGATAGTATCACAGTTAAATAACATAGCTACATAAAAATGATTCTGAGTTTATGCTTGCCTTACTTTGCTGCCTAGATCCTGATACCAAGTTGACAGTAGTGAGAAAGTGTTGATTAAAGTTTGGAATGTTCCTTGCTGACTTGATATATAATTTAACATGAATGGAATTTGAGATTTTTCATCAATTTCCATGTGTGTTAGCTAAAATTAGTAGTAAAATGAGCAGACTTTCATTATTGCTCTGCTGCTAACATTGAGTGCTTTCTGGCTCCCAAGATTGAAGACTACTGTTTACTTTAGTTGGTGGTGTGATTTCAGTCATCAGTGCAATCTGTTTCCTTATTCAGTCTCTACTAACGTTGATTTCATACCAAGTAGGTGAATCTGGAAAGTTTTTACCTACTTCAGAGTCTCTTACTTTACCACTTCCTGGGCTGTCACATGGAATACTTGATGGGATTTTGAATGTTATATATGAGATTGACTAATCCACAAGTGTAATTTTGGTCACTTCTTCAGTCTTTTCCTTCATGTAATAATCCTTGTAAAACATGTATACAAGGTGTCTCCTGTTGAACACCAGCAGGTTTTTTTCTTCCCTTACTAGCTTTTGCATGCAATTCTGTTGAATTTTCTGTGACTTCTACTTTGTCTCAAATTGGATTAACCAATATTCGAACCAGTCCAAACTCTAAGTGGGTTCTGAGACTTGGGTGTCCTCAGCACTGCTATGGATATGGGATGAGAATTTGGCATTGCTTGAGTAAGAGCCTACTTTTTATTTTTCATCATATGCTTAGGGTGAGTTTACACCTGCAGTCACTGTTGCAGCTGATTAATGTGCATGTACCTGAACAAGTTTAGACATCAGTATCAATTTGGGCACAAGGACCACATAAATTTTTATTAGCTGAACTGATCACAGTCTAGACTTCTTTCTAGTTTGTTGCAGCATTACACTGTAGCCCCAGTAATATTTTGAAGATGATTATAAAAAATGCCTTTCTTAATTTGAAAGCATTTTATGTTAGTTAACCTTAACGCATGATCTAGATTACACAAAATGCCACTGTGCAGGCTGAGTTCCCTTAAATAGAATTAATTTTAGATAGAAAAACCTTGATCTTTATCTAATTTCAAATTCAGTTCTAGCAAGGTTAGGACCATGCACAAGGAGTCTTTATAATGGTGTGTATAATCTTACCTTTGAGCCATACTGCACAAGAAATGAGATGAAAGGAGAGAAAGCTGACTTCGTGCTTTTCATTCCCTTTGAGTGGCTTTTAAATCTCATGACCAGTTATCTCCCGAGAGCTTCACAGGAAAAGACGGAGATACATACTATTTTTAGGGAAGTAGAAGACTTGTCTACTCTCTCGTCCACTGCTGGCAGAGCCTTGCTGGTCAAGGGGTGGTAAGGTAGAATATCTTCTAGCATTTCTATCCAGAAGCTCCCTGCAGAGATGGAATTACACTAGAAAAGCTCTGACTGCACCAGCTCTACCACTGTTGTTTTGTAAACACTACAACTGGTGCAGACCAGCCTGTATCTCTGGTTATGCCACAGAAGCAATTGCTATTTTTTTTTTACCCTGTTATTTGCTTTCTGTATTAAGGCATATGGTATGACTGTGCATCATGTTGCATTAGGAGACTTAAGAATGTAAAAGCTCTGAAGATGCTGAAGTAATCTGACATCAGCAATCTGTTAGTTCTCCAAGAACGGTGTTACTGGTCTGCAGTTCCTTGAAGAGTATCGCACATATCTCATCCTTATCAGAAAAATCTAGGGCTGTTTACTTATACCCCTTTCACTGTAAAAAGGAAACTCAACCAAGAAAGCATTAGCATGTCAGCCACAAATATTTTTTTTCTAAACAAAAGTTGATATGAGTTAATGTAACATCATTCTTTTTAACCAAATCCAAATACCAAGTTGCAAATGAGAGCAGCAGCTAAATAACTGGCTGTTCAAAAGGCTTACTATTTTGGTGTAATACTGCAGAGGGAGGTAGAATCACTCTAAAACAAATATAGCAATGTTCCAGAGAAAAATGCCAATTTTTTGGAGATGCAAAATTCTCAGTGTTTGTTTGTAGAGGCGATGCCTGTCTTCAGCAATATTCTCTTAACAGTTATTTTTCTCTTCCTTTTGAGAAGAGAAGCCAAAGAAGCTAAGGCACACTAAATGTTACTTTGCTATTTCATGGTCTCTGTGGCTCATTTTATCAAATTTTACCAAAATATCACTTGTTTAACAGAACTATGTGTTGCCTTCACTGTTAGGTCTCACTGCCTCTTGCTGGTCCCTTGGCTTTTGTGTCAGCAGTGTACACCAATGAACAAGACTCAAGCTTTTCATCTGTGAAGCATGTAATGGCAGCATATACTTGGTAATTTGGTAAAAAAGGGGAGGGAAGAAACATTAGTACCCAATTCTGATGTCTGTTTCACCATGGAAGTAATGCTTGCAGTGTGAAACTTGTGTGTAAAAATTAATTGTTTTGCAGAAATTCTTTGATGTAGGAAGAAACCAAAGGTTAAGCTTCCTGTGTTCCGTTTTACAAGCTGTGTGGATTAAACCGAATTCATTAGAACTGTGATCACATATATTAATACTGAAAGCTGTATTTTTGTGTGTGAAATAATGAATTATAAGGACTGAGCTTATTTGTATTCCCCACTGCTAATTCATGATAAACTAAAATTCTGACTTCTCTTCCTTAAATTAAGCTGAGTTTAAATAAATAAATAAAAAGTGACACCTGTTAAAGAAGCTCCTCAATGTTCTTTGCTTTACAGCACAGATGGAATTTTTCTTGAGGTCACTTGGTAAGGAAAATTTGGGACTATCTTCCAGAATTAATTTATCCTTATCCAGTATTGTTGCTAAAGAGCAGGTATGTGACATTTAAAAACTGTTCTTCGATATCCAGAATTTAAGACTGAAAGCTAGATCAGTATTCAGAGTTTAAGTCAATGTCTAGATTCGTATGACCCCTTTGCCTAACAGAGACTGAATATAGGGGGAAATAATGGGGTTTTTTTGTAGATTTGAAGTATTCTTGCGTGTAGAATTTAAACTGGTGGTTAAAATAGTTTGTTTATAGCAAAACCAGCAATCTTTAGGATTGAAATTACTGGTGGTGGGGTTTTTTTGTAATTAAGCAGTGACTATAATTTCCACACTTCCTGCAAGTGGCCTGGAATGATTACTTTAAGCAATCTAAGAATTCAGTATTTGTCCTGCAATTGAGTGTCATTTTGCTAGTAGTAAATTAAATTTCAAGGAGTATGCTTGAAATAGGTAAGCTATCAGACAAGCAAGGCAAACTGTATGTATAAGTATGAAGCCACTATGAAAGTAAACACTTTAATACCATGGGCTGTCAGTGCTCTAGAGTAATCAGTCACTTTTCGCTGCATGCGTTATAGGTAAATGAATACAGAATAGCCTAATGCATAGTTTTACTAACCTGCACATAGTACTTTTAAAAAAAAAACCAAAAAAAACCACAACAAAAAACACAAGGCTAAACATTCTGATGTTATGTTCACTAACCAGCTAAAGTTAAACTGGGACTTGCTTTTAAAAGAGCATTGCAAAGGCAGCTGTTATATAGGAAACTGTTAGTCCTTTAGTTGAATCAAAGGGACATAAGACACGAGCATCAGTATTGGTGAGATCTAGACATTGTGCCTCAAAGATAATGAGTCTCCTTGATGAGTCTTCTCCTTATTTTCAGGCAACCTAATGTTAGGCATCTGTATGTCTGTTGAAGATCCTCTTCCTATCTGTTACTCTCTTCTTGAAACAATTTTTTGGTATGTCACTGTTTAACCATCACTGGCTTACCCTAGGATGTCACTAACCTGGGCACTGCACTTCTATTACCCAGAAGTCTTTGCAGTGTTTCTCCTATGCTTGCCTGCTCTATTACTCTGACCTTTCCCAACATTTGCAGCATGAATTAGAAAGAAATTTAGTAATTCTTACTGTCTCCGAATAATAACTCTCTCTTACTGTCTCCTGTTGGCTTCTGAAAAGCAGATGGTGATCCAAGCAGGGCTTGTGAGGGTGGGATGTTTTTAG